TAAAGATGTTAAGTCCTAGAGCATATAGAGAAGGAAGGCATTTATTCAGTTAGTGGGATTAAAGAACACCTTAGAGAGGAAGAGAAACTTGAATCAACCTTGAAAAGAGTGACTGGATGAAAAAAAAAAAAAAAATGAAAGGACCTACGGATAGTATGATGGACAAAAGGCCCTAGAATCCAGAACAGCCATGGCTTGCTTGGAAAATGTCAAGGGTATTGGAGTCTGGATTGCTGAGGACAGATTAAGGAGCCTCCCACTTGAGGTTCAATATGAAAAGCATTGAAGGAGAGAGAGCCTTGAAACTGAAGTCTTGAGTTAGAAACAAAAAACTAAAGTGTGCTTGACTGTGCTTCCTTTAATCATTCCTTAAATTTATTCTTGACCACAATACTAATTACCTATGAATCAGTAATCCTAGAACTCTAATTGAATTTTACACTGGTGACTTAATGTTTTCGGGATTGCAGTCCTTGGTATTTACAAAGAAATAGTTGGGTGCTAAATATCATGCCATAATCTGGAGGGTATTCAAACTTCAGTGTAAGAACCGTAAGCTGGAATGTGCTGTTAGACACAGTAGTGGGTGGTAATATGCATTTTGTTCTCATGCAGTGAAACTGGTTTCCTTTCACTGAACATCTTTGTTCCTAGAACCTTAAAGTCTAATCATGTCTGAATAAATGCATTGAAATGTTTTTTCAAATATATTGTGGAAAACTGTGAAAGAAGGATTTTTCATAGTTCATTTCCTCCAATATTCATGTCTTAACTAATCTTAGTGCTTACCAAAAGGTAACCTGAAAGAAGGCATTGTGTACAAGTTGAACAAAGTAGAAGTCGTTCCACATACCAGTGAAGCAGAATAATAAGTAATATAAAGTAGCCAGTGGTAGAATGGTTGCTGCGTTAACTGGTAATTGCCTCAGACAAAAAATATTGTCTTAAGTTATACCCAAATGTGCAGGGGTTTAAAGACAAATAAAATACTGCATTGCTTTGAATAAAAGACATCATTTTCATGTTGTTGACATGGAGAGCTTTTTCATGACTGTAAGAACATCTCTTTCTTATTGCATGTAAACAAGCATCTGATCATAACATGGACAAAGTGATAGAAAAAGTTAGATCCAACATGCTTTTACTTACTTTGTGTGTGTTTTAAAGAATTTGGAACTAAATGTTGAAAATTGTAAATTCAGCAAGTCTTGAACCAAGTTGGGTTCACTGTGCAATCTTTGTTTTCATTTGATTAGTATTTATTGATTCCCTGTATGTGCCAGGCACTGTGATAAATGGTTGATACTATTTCACTGATGACAGTGGACATGGGGTGATGTTACACTGGGGGAGAGAGACATTACAAACAGCCCTAATGAAGATGTAGATTATATAGTGAGTCTGAAGGTGATATATCCTGTGGAACAAAAGGGTAGCAAAGCAGGGAAAGGGGAACTAGGTGGACTTAGGGGCTGCAGAATAGCAATGTTCAATTTAAAAGTGAGTGGTCTGGGAGGTCTCGGTACAAAGGTGATGCTAAACAAAGCCTCGATACTTTGAGAAAGTGCTGTGTGACTATCAGGCAGAACCTCCTGCCCCCAAGGTGAGAGCACTTCTGACACATTATAGGCCTGGGCAGCAGGCAGGTGGACTGTGGTGGTGGTGGTGGGATAGAGCAGTAAAGATGAGCTGTGAGAGGTCACTGGGATTGGATTAAGTGAGGCTTAATTGGGTGTGGTGGAATCTTTGACTTTTCCTTTTTCCATTTTCTTTTTTAATAACAGCTTTGTTGAGATAAAATTTACATACCACCAATTCACTCGTATGTGTACAATTCAGTGGTTTTTAAAATTGTATTCAGGATGTTATGTAACCATCATCACAGTCAATTTTAGAAAATGTTCATCTTCCCCAAAAGAAACACCATATCCTTTAGCAGTTACCCTCTCAGATCGCCATCTCACCCTACACAACCACTAATCTGTTTTCTGTTTCTATGCATTTGCCTATTCTGAAAATTTAATAGAAATGGAATCCTACAGTATGTGGTCTGTTGTGACACTTAGCTTAATGCTGTCAAGGCTCATCCATATTAAAACATGTGTTAGTTTTTTTTTTCTATTTTTAATTAATTTTTGTTTTGAGACAGGATCTTATTCTTTTGCCCAGGCTGGAATGCAGTGGGGCAGTCATGGCTCACTACAGCTACAACCTCTGGGGCTTAAGCAATCCTGCTGCCTTAGCCTCTCGAATAGCTGAGGCTATAGGCACGTGCCACCACGCTCGGCTGATTTTCTTCTTTTTTGTAGAGACACAGTCTCACTATGTTGCCTACCCTGGTCTCGGACTCCTGGGCTCAAGCGATCCTCCTGCCTCAGCCTCCCAAAGTACATGTATTAATCCTTCTTTCCTTTTTATGTTTGAATAATATTCTTTTTTATTTTATTTTATTTTATTATACTTTAAGTTCTAGGGTACATGTGCATAACGGGCAGGTTTGTTACATATGTATACTTGTGCCATGTTGGCGTGCTGCACCCATCAACTCATAAGCACCCATCAACTCGTCATTTACATCAGGTATAACTCCCAATGCAATCCCTCCCCCCTCCCCCCTCCCTGTGATAGGCCCCGGTGTGTGATGTTCCCCTTCCCGAGTCCAAGTGATCTCATTGTTCAGTTCCCACCTATGAGTGAGAACATGCGGTGTTTGGTTTTCTGTTCTTGTGATAGTTTGCTGAGAATGATGGTTTCCAGCTGCATCCATGTCCCTACAAAGGACACAAACTCATCCTTTTTTATGGCTGCATAGTATTCCATGGTGTATATGTGCCACATTTTCTTAATCCAGTCTGTCACTGATGGACATTTGGGTTGATTCCAAGTCTTTGCTATTGTGAATAATGTCACAATAAACATACGTGTGCATGTGTCTTTATAGCAGCATGATTTATAATCCTTTGGGTATATACCCAGTAATGGGATGGCTGGGTCATATGGTACTTCTAGTTCTAGATCCTTGAGGAGTCGACATACTGTTTTCCATAATGGTTGAACTAGTTTACAATCCCACCAACAGTGTAAAAGTGTTCCTATTTCTCCACATCCTCCCCAGCACCTGTTGTTTCCTGACTTTTTAATGATTGCCATTCTAACTGGTGTGAGATGGTATCTCACTGTGGTTTTGATTTGCATTTCTCTGATGGCCAGTGATGATGAGCATTTTATCATGTGTCTGTTGGCTATATGAATGTCTTCTTTTGAGAACTGTCTGTTCATATCCTTTGCCCACTTTTTGATGATGTTGTTTGTTTTTTTCTTGTAAATTTGAGTTCTTTGTAGGTTCTGGATATTAGCCCTTTGTCAGATGAGTAGATTGCAAAAATTTTTTTCCCATTCTGTAGGTTGCCTGTTCACTCTGATGGTAGTTTCTTTTGCTGTGCAGAAGCTCTTTAGTTTAATTAGATCCCATTTGTCAATTTTGGCTTTTCTTGCCGTTGCTTTTGGTGTTTTAGACATGAAGTCCTTGCCCATGCCTATGTCCTGAATGGTATTACCTAGGTTTTCTTCTAGGGTTTTTATGGTATTAGGTCTAACATTTAAGTCTCTAATCCATCTTGAATTAATCGTGAAAATGGCCATACTGCCCAAGGTAATTTATAGATTCAATGCCATCCCCATCAAGCTACCAATGAGTTTCTTCACAGAATTGGAAGAAACTGCTTTAAAGTTCACATGGAACCAAAAAAGAGCCCGCATTGCCAAGACAATCCTAAGTCAAAAGAACAAAGCTGGAGGCATCACGCTACCTGACTTCAAACTATACTACAAGGCTACAGTCACCAAAACAGCATGGTACTGGTACCAAAACAGAGATATAGACCAATGGAACAGAACAGAGTCCTCAGAAATAATACCACACATCTACAGCCATCTGATCTTTGACAAACCTCAGCAAAACAAGAAATGGGGAAAGGATTCCCTATTTAATAAATGGTGCTGGGAAAACTGGCTAGCCATAAGTAGAAAGCTGAAACTGGATCCTTTCCTTACTCCTTATATGAAAATTAATTCAAGATGGATTAGAGACAAATGTTAGATCTAATACAATAATATTCTACTCTAAGAATATACTACATTTTGTTTATTCATTTATCAACTGATGGATATTTGGGTGGTTTCCTCTTTTTGGATGTTATGAATAAGGCTACCATAAACATTTGTAGACAAAGTTTTGTGTGGATGTATGTTCTCATTTCTTACCTTGGAATGAAACTACTGGGACACATGGTAACTCTATTTAACGTTTCGAGGAATTGTCAGACAGACTGTCTTCCAGCGTGTCTATACCATTTTATATTCCCAGCATCAGTGTTGAAGGTTCTGACTTCCTACATCTTCACCAATACTTGTTACTATTTGTCGTTTTTTATTATTGCTATTCTTTGGGGCATGAAGTGATATGTCATTCTTGTTTTAATTTGTAGTTGCTTAAAGACAGTGATGTTGAGCATCTTTTCATATGCTTTTTGGCATTTTGTATATCTTTTTGGAGAAATGTCTATTCAGGCTCTTTGCCCATTTTAAAATTGAGTTTAATTATCCATTTATTATTGGGCTATAAGAGTTATTTATATATTCAAGATATAAGTCTCCTATCAAAGATATGATTTGGAAATATTTTATCTCATTCAGCACATACCAAGGGCTTAATTAAATTTTGTCAAATAAATATTAGAACATCCTAAATTATATTTTCACTACATTATTGTTGTAATTTTAGAATTTAGCCAATTATATACCAATTTTAATTTCCCTCCTTAAATAATTAAAATGTATTAAGATAAATTGATAAATGTCTCATTATTTTAATGCCTTTAAATTCATCATTATTATTGGTGAGGTGTTTAAAATCTGTCATTTAAACAAATGGACAAATTACAAAAACATGGAACACATTTTTGTTTAAAAAATTAATATTTGATTTTTAAATTTTATAGATGGAAAAAGTGGAGGCAGATCTAACTAGATCCAAATCTCTTCGTGAGAAACAATCAAAGGAGTTTTTATGGCAACTGGAGGACATCAGACAGCGGTATGAACAACAGGTTGGTCTTTCATTTAGATGCTGCCATTAAATTTTAAAAATACATATATAATTGCTATCACAAAATATCTGCATAATGAAAATATTACTAAGAGCTGTTATTACCAACATATTTAAAATAATGTTTGTTTCAATAAAATCTGTAAACAGAATTTTAACACTCCACTGAAGTGTATTCTGACAGTTTGTTTTATCTGAATGTTTGAAACATCGATTGTAATTGATGAGACTGGGTAATTTCTAAGAAAAGAGCTTTGATTGGCTTACAGTTGTGCAGGTTGTACAGAAAGCATAGTGGCCTCTGTTTCTGGAGAGGCCTCAGGAAGCTCCCAATCAAGGGAGAAGGAAGCGGAAGCAGGCACCTTACATGGCAAAAGCAGGAGCCAGCGAGTGAACCAGCGAGACAGAGAGAGAGAAGCGAGGAGGTGCCGTACACTTTTAAATGACCAGATCACTTGTGAACTCAGAGTGAGAGCTCACTTATCACCAAGGGGATGGCCCAAACCATTCATGAGGGATCCGCTCCCATGATTCAAACATCTCCCACCCCATGATCCACCACCTCCAACACTGGGGATTACATTTCAACATGAGATCTGGGTGGGAACAAGTATCCTAACAATGTCAGTAATTCTTCTGTCCTGTCATAGCACTAGTGAAACCTCCATTAATTTGAGAAATAGGGTTGAGTACTTACTATGTGCCAGGTGCTGTCCCTGGTATGAGGGAGAACAGCAACAGAAAGCATGCCTCCTCTCTCATGGAGTTTGCTTTTTGGTGACTAATCAGTCTACAAATTAAAAAGTGAAATAATTTTGAAGAGTGAGTTTTTTTTTTATTATTATTATTATTATTATTTTTGAGATGGAGTCTCACTCTCTCACCCAGGCTGGAGTGCAGTGTCGCCATCTTGGCTCGCTGCAACTGCCACCTCCTGGGTTCAAGCGATTCTCCTGCCTCAGCCTCCCGAGTAGCTGGGATTACAGGCACATGCCACCACGCCCGGCTAATTTTTGTAATTTTAGTAGAGACGGGGTTTCACCATGTTGGCCAGGCTGGTCTTGAACTCCTGATTTCAGGTGATTTGCCCACCTCAGCCTCCCAAAATGCTGGGATTACAGGTGTGAGCCACCACACCCGGCCTGAAGAGTGACTTATGTAGAAGAAAAAATGGTACCTTTATAGCCTTTGCCAGATGGAGGGTGGGAAGAGGATTACCAGCCTTGAATAACTGATCAGGGAAACCCTGATATTTGTGCTGAGTTCTGAAAACTAGGAAGGAGCCAGCCATGAGCTCTGGAGAAATAGTATTCCAGTCTCAGGGAATAGCACGTTCAAAGATCCTGAGAAGAGAGCAAGCTGGAAGTGTTCAAGGAAGATAACTGATGATGAAGACCAGATTAGCCAGAATATGAGGAGAAAAGTTCCTGCTGTGGGAGATGAAGGGGAAGAGGGAGGTTAGGACCAGGATGTGTAAAGAGTTGAGATTTTGTCCTCAGTGGTCTGCCTCTTACTTAGTAATACAAAGTTTTATTTTCTTCTTTTAAAAATATATTTCTGCTTATTCCCAAAATACTTAAAATTACGACTAATTTTTAGCTTGGTTTTCCTTTGGTAAACATGATCCTAAACCTCAGTGGCTTAGAACAAAAAAGGTTTATTTCATACTTATGTCATGTGTCCTTTGAGGACTGACTGCAGCTCGGACCCATGTCATGTCATCTTGAGTCCAGTTTTTAGAATGAACTATCTGGAACATTGCTATGGGAAATGGAAAAGGAAATATTTTGAGCATCTGCTGGCTTCTAACATTGACCCAGAAGTAAGTTTACTCACATTTTATTGGCCAAAGCAAACATGGCCTCCCTGGTGTAATCCTCCGCCTGGAAGGAGCATCACAGAGAAGACCATCAAATGGGGTTAGCATAAAACAGTTTACCATGCTGACTACAATTGCAAACTTAGAAAATGTAAAAATGTAGAAAATGCTAGAACTGGGTTTTAAAGGTACATTCTTTATCAAGCAGCACAGGTGTTATGACACAGGACCAATAAAAAAGGAAATGTAGTCTTGGCAGACAAAATATTCATCATTGAACAATATTACATAGACACAATAATTAGATGACATTTATTGTTTTCAACTTTAAAAACTAGCTTAGGGTTACAGAACAGGGCATAGATGTTACCAACTGTATTAGTCTGTTCCCACAAGGCTAATAAAGACATACCCAAGACTGGGTAATTTATAAAGGAAAGAGGTTTAATGGACTCACAGTTCCACATGGCTGAGGAGGCCTCACAATCATGGCAGAAGGCAAAGGAGAAGCAAAGTCACCTTTTATATGGTGGCAGGCAAGAGAGCTTGTGCAGGGGAGCTCCCATTTATAAAACCATCAGATCTTGTGAGACTTACTTACTAACATGAGAACAGCATGGGGGAAACCGCCCCCATGATTTAATTATCTCCACCTGGTCCAGCCCTTCACACGTGGGGATTATTTCAATTCAAGGTGAGATTTGGGTGGGGGCACATCCAAACCATATCACCAGCCTTGCTATTCTAACAGTAAAGGTTAAGATGGTCTAGGTATGGAAGTGGAAGAAAGGGATGGAGGGCCTGGGAGGGGAAGGGTGAGAGCACTGAGGTATTATCATGAAGTGGGGTTTGAGCAGCTGCCCATGTAATGAAACAAAACACAGAGGTTTTAGTATATTCCTCATTACAGGGTTGACCATTGGAGGAACTGAGAGGAATGGAGTAACTAGTAAAATGGTGACAAGAGTGGGAGAAAGGAGCGAGGGAGTGTAAATGAGCTAAATCTCCATTTGTCCTAGTAGAAAACCTATAAGGAGTGTCTAGCTTTGGTAAATAGAGAGCTCTGTAGCATGTTTTGTAGAGGCAGGGAAGTAATCACCAGAGAAAGCAGCACAGACGTGTTTTAAAAGAGTTGCCACCAGGACAGGAGTGGGATGGGGCCTTAAGGACCTGTTACTTTTTATTAGAAGACGAGGTTTACCATTTTATTTTTAAAAATCACGTGTGCACATATACAGACACATACGCATATATGAATATGTATACTTTATATTTACATATTCATATATAGGATATATATGTTCTGTTCCAAAAAAACTGATTCATATAGATTTTAATCCCCAAATTTTATTTCTTAGAAGCTATCCTATAGAAATATTTATACATGTGCAAAAAGATGCATGTTCATCCATGTTTTGGGAGGATTATTTGTAATATTAAGAAAAGTTGTAAATAAAATGAATGATTAAATAAATTATGCTGGCCGGGTGTGGTGGCTCACACCTGTAATCCCAGCACTTTGGGAGGCTGAGGCAGGCAGATCACAAGGTCAGGAGATTGAGACCATCCTGGCTAACACAGTGAAACCCCGTCTCTACTAAAAATGCAAAAAATTAGCCGGGCTTGGTGGCGGGTGCCTGTAGTCCCAGCTACTCAGGAGACTGAGGCAGGAGAATGGCATGAACCTGGGAGGTGAAGTCTGCAGTGAGCCGAAATGGCACTACTGCACTCCAGCCTGGATTTGACAGAGCAAGACTCTGTCTCAAAAATAAATAAATAAATAATGCTAAATACCTACTGTGGAATACAATATACTTATTAAAAAGATTGATATAAATCTGAAGGTGCCAACATACGCAGATTTCTAAGGCATGTTGGTGAGGGAAATAAAGCACTTCTTAGAACACTTTGTATATTATGATCCCATTGATGTAAAATTAAAACATGTGTCTCAAAGTTAGATATGTAAATTCAGTGAAAAAATTCTGTAAGATTATACACGACTATGGAATTGGCCTGGAATTATGGGTTAGGGTTATGATGAATTGAGACTTTCATTGTATGCTCTAAATAACCTTTTTTACTTCAAATTTCGTAATGAGCATATGTTATGCATTACTTGGATAAGTAAAACATTAAAATTATGAGTGCTAAGAAACAATACAATGGAATAAATATTTTGGAGCATTTATATTATCTTCTTTTTTTTTTTTCTTAGAGATGGGGTCTTGCTCTGTCTCCTAGGCAGGAGTGCAGTGGTGCGATTATGGCTCACTGCAACCTTTAACTCCTGGGCTCCAGCAATCCTCTTACCTTAGCCTCCCAAAGTGCTGGGATTACAGGCATGAGCCACCGTGCCTGGTCTGTGTTGTATTCTATAGCATTTTAAGTGGGTAATAAATTTGGATTAATGAAATAGAAAATAAATTCAAACAGTTTATATGCAATGTAAAAAATAACCAATAAATGAAAAGCCTAAAAGAGAAGAAAAGATAGAAGATAGAGCTGACCGGTGGCTCAAGCCTGTAATCCCAGCACTTTGGGAGGCCGAGACGGGCGGATCACGAGGTCAGGAGATCGAGACCATCCTGGCTAACACGGTGAAACCCCGTCTCTACTAAAAAATACAAAAAACTAGCCGGGCGTGGTGGCGGCGCCTGTAGTCCCAGCTACTTGGGAGGCTGAGGCAGGAGAATGGCGCGAACCTGGGAGGCGGAACTTGCAGTGAGCTGAGATCTGGCCACTGCACTCCAGCCTGGGCGACAGAGCGAGACTCTGTCTCAAAAAAAAAAAAAAAAGAAGATAGAGCTGACACATTATTTTCAACAGTGCCAAAGTATGGATGACTTCAGACTTTCTAACTGCAAAAGCCAGTGCAATGGAGTTATTCTATCAGATTTAAAAAAAAATGGTTTGATATAAAAATGAAGTAGTTAATTTCCGATTAATATGTGATGGCAACTGAAAGTCATTCTAACACATGCCAAATTAAAAATATGTATTTCTCCTGAAATACACTTTTATCTAAAGAGCCATGGAGGATGTTTTCCACAACTTTAGTAATGGGAGGAAGTTGCTTGGAAACTGGTTTTAGAAACTAGGTTTAGAAAACTATATGAAGAATCGGAGGCTGGAACTGGGGAGTAAGGGGTGGTAAGAGGGAGGGAAACAGGGGTAATTGT